AAGGATAAAATACCGATGTGGGAGTATTGCAAAATTGAAAATTATTTGAGAGACAATGTGGGAAAGGTAGATTTTTTTTTGACTCAAAATGTATGAACTTTAAAATCATCGGACCAAAATTTGCTATTAAATAAATAAAGCTTCAAAATCACGAATTTTTAAAATGTTAGGCTAAAATTGGGTGTCAACACGCACATTCGATTTGCAATGCACCGTAAATGGTGTTGACATCTTCTCACTATTACTGGCATGATTTTTTCATGTTTGCAATGTACATCAAGCCTTATCTCATGGAAATACCGCCTTCAAAGATTAAAATACGGCAAGCACATACTCTGCACCACGGTGGCCACCTTCTGCTTCTTTTTCAATCATTCTCAGTGCGGTTGGATCATTACGATTGAAAAAATCAAACTATAAAAGAAACAATACATTAAGATTGCAAAATAAATTGATGCAAGGTGAAAATGAACTAAAAACAGTAAAATTACCATGCCTTTTATGTATAAGGCTTCTAAGTTCTCCGATGATATGCAAATATTCATGAAAAACACGGCTTGTTGATTCGTCGTCCATGTAGGTTCAGTGAGAAAGCTGGCCAATGTAACCTTCTGTGGTACAGAATGTTCATTACCAACTTCATTGGGAAACCTAGAACATAATTTAACACTAACTAAATCTTCTAGAGAGTAGGAAACATATTTTTCAACAATAAGAATTACTAGTTCAGTCGAGAGGGATTCAAAGAGGCTTAAACTAGTTGAAGCCATTTTTGAGGATGAAGAAAAAGAGAAGATAACTTTTGCCTTATCTCTCCCTTCTTGTGTTCTTATAAAGGCCAACAATTTTGAAATGTTGCAAGACATGACATTTCAACAGAGTAAACTGAAGAGTCGTAATTATTACACAAAAGGTATTATCTAATAGCACACTCCCACGTAATCATAAGTTAAAAGTATATTGAGACAGATGATTATATGTAGCAACATTTGAGTCATATGTTGCTACATCTGATTCGCCTGTAGCAACATTTGTTACATATGTTGCCACATCTAATATATCTAAAGGCGCTCTCCTACGTAATCATAATTTAAAAGTTTTTGTTGCTATGGTGATTATATATAGCAACATTTGAGTCATATGTTGCTACGGATGATTATATGTAGCAACATTCGTTCGTCACAACATATGGCATATGTTGCGATAACTGATTCGTCTGTAGCAACACTGTTTCATATGTTGCCACATCTAATATATTTAAAATCACATTCCGACGTAGTCATTATTTAAAAGTATATGTTGCTACAGATGATTTTATGTAGCAATACATGAGTCAAATGTTGCTACAACTGATGCGTATATCGCAACATTCGTTCGTCACAACATTTAAGTCATATGATGCTACAAAATCTAATGTATTATTTATAATTGTTATATTAATATTAAATTGGGAAAATACACAAATATTCCTCAATCTATGCCTGAAATCTCAGAGACACATTTGTAATTTACTAAGGTCCTATTATCCCCTCGAACTTATTTTATAAATAATTTTCTACCCCTTTTCGATCTACATGACACTATAACTTAAAAAATTATCAACACACGTTGGGCCCACAAGATAGTGATACGTAAGCCGAAAAGAGGTAGAAAATTATTTATAAAATAAATTCAGAGGAGTAATAGGACCTTAGTATAACATAAGTGTGTTAGAGATTTCGAGCATAGTTTTGGAAGGTACCTACGCATTTTTCCTATTAAATTCATTAAATATGTATATTTCTTTTTTCTACTATCATAAAAGTGTGAGCAATGAAAGTGGTATCAACGTAAAATGTCAATATAATTCAGATTATGAATAATTTAGACTCTTTGATAATGCATTCTTATGCTAGTTTTTGTCTATTTTAACTTTGGTAAGGTTTATTCCCTTCCAATCTATCTTTGGTTATTGCACTTGTTTGTTTGTTTACTTAATTTCGCAAAATTGTTCTTTTATCCCCCATTCTAAAGAAAATATTGAAGACATTACACCTATATATTTTATAGGCATAAGGTATAAATGTGCCCTTTAGCATAAACTCATTTTATGTTTATGTCTTCTAACTTTGGAATTGACAAATATACACTTAAACTCATATAAAGTAATACAAGTAAACACACGAGTCCTACATGACACAATACACATAGGACACTAAATAGGACCACAATTGACATGTATTATGCCATGTAGGACATGTGTGTCTATTTGTTCAACTTTATACTAGTTTATGTGTCTAATTGTGCACATCCAAAGTTGAAGGTCATAAATGTGATTTGATGTCACGCCCCGAGCTACCCCCGAGATGCGTATGCGGAACCTAGAACCACAAGTGATTCCAAGCTAACCCTGCTGGCATGATCATGAGCATAATAAAGATAATAAACTGATGAAGAAGCTAAATCATAATTAAATCTAAAAAGATGGGAAATACCCATATTCTATAACTGAGTTATTTGAAAACAATTAGTTTATTTCAAAGGAAATATCAACTCAATACAAAGATGAATCTAACTATGTCTGACATAAGCCTCTCAATTGGAATAGAAATACTGGGACAATCCCCCAGCTAAATCTAGCAAAAAATTAAACTAAATGACTAAAAATTTAAACGACACTCATGATTATTGTCCTCGGAGAATGAGGACTCACCTCTGAATCAACTGAACTGGAGATCGGAAATCGATCTATGCGTGATCTGGATGCTGAGAACTTGAACCTACATCACGAGAAGATATAGCACACGTATGCGTTAGTACTTGAAAGGTAATGGGCATGTAGGATAGAGTAAAGCTGAAATAAAACATAACCGAACAAGCATAAAAGTAAGTATAATAATCTGACATGATAAACTGAATTCTTATCTAACTGGATGCAATGACCAATTTATAGCATGCTGAAACTGAATATACTGAAAAATGCTCAATGCAAAGAGTCTGACTGATATGTGGGAGATACTAATAACCGATAATAAAACCACATGAGCTAAATATTGAGTCCGGTGTATACACCCCATCGAGAGGACCAAATATCCCTGCATGCTAGCGCGATCACTAAACTGATTTCCCGCAGAGGGGACTTACAACCTACTTGGCTAGTAGTTTTAGGACTATTTGGTACGCTAACCCTAGTCCAACTCATTATTATGCTACTGCCATGAATTCTATAAATTTACTGATTATGTCTAAGTTTCTATAAATACTGGATAGCTCGATAATGAACATGCAAACTGAGAATGCAACAATTAATCTTATAATTATGCATTTATAACTGAGGCATGTATATCTGACCTAGCATGTGTAATTCAAGAACTAAAGAAGTACAAAGCTAGAGTTCTTGAAATTCATGTGATAATCTGAGTAATAACATGACAATATGATTTGGAACATGTGTTTAATAGGTCATGAAGTTCTATCAAAGTTCTAGAGACCCTAGGTTTAAATCATGATAATAGAATCAAGAGTCTGATTAAAAACTAGGGACCTAATGGGTGAAAGGAACCCACTAGTGAAATTCCACATACCTGGTGATGAAATCCACGGAAAAATACTTAAGTTTCGGGGCTGGAACTGCTGGAGCTTGTTGCGTTCTTAAACTAGGGTTCTTGAGCCTTTTCTCCTCTCTTGCTTCTAATTTTCTAAGTTTTGATTTAATGATTTGACTTAGATATATTTTAATTATGTTTCTAGGATTAAACTGAGTAAAATCTGATTATTTAGGGTCAAAACAATATATCTTAAGGTTTAAATGAAGTGGGAAAAGACCAAAAAACCCTCGGATAAGTTGTTGTCGTACCAAATGACGGCCAGGACTAACATTCCATCGTCTGACCGATGCCCCGTCGTTTGGTCCGTCGACTGGGCTTGATCAACACGCCTTTATTGAAATGAGCATAACTTTTTACTCGGAGGTCTATTTTAACAAGGTTGGTGGATATGGAAATACAATTAAATTATCTATCTGTGGGTAGGTCATTGGACACCTAATTCATTTTGTGATAAGATTAATGATTATTTGAAGTTGACCCAACTACATTTCCCCTCAACTCTCTCCAAAATTTCCACCTACGGACCGTACTCTGTAGATCTTATCACAGAGTGAGTGAAGGGAGTATTGATCGACGTCACGGGCTATAGACCATCGTCTGACCTGTGGATCATAAGTCCGTCCGTCGTCCAAGACTTAACCAATTTTTAGGAGTTTCTGATCCCATCGACGGTTGTGCAGGATGGACCGTGAGTCAGGCTACGGTCCGTCGATGCCACTGTTGGTTGCACCTGTAGATATTTTTTTCTGTAAAGCTGGTTTTTGGTGTGTTTTGGTTACAGGGTTATACATTATCTCCCCCTTGGGAACATTCGTCCTCGAATGAAGACTAAACTAGCTAAAATAGAGGGAGAGATCTGCAAATCCTACTACTAACCACTGAAAACTAAGTTTCTCACTAAATTGAGTTCTGATAAAATTCAAATATGTTGAAAATGCAAGTACAAACTGAGGGAACATGATTCTAATACTGAATTCACGCATGAATGATTGGAAAATTGAAAAGGAACTATTACCTTAAGCTGGAGCAGAATCGGAAGGAAAGAGGTGATGATACTTGGCTTTCATGGCTGCTTATTCTTCCCAAGTAGTTCCCTCTACGGACTGACTCCTCCACAATACCGTGACTGAAGCGACTTCTTTGTTTCTCTACCTTCTGACCTGAAGGTCAAGAATCTCGACTGGTACAACTCATAAGTAAGACTATCTTTCACCACCACACTCTCTAATGGAACTACAGCGGCTGGATCACCCACAAACTTCTTCACGAGTGAGATGTGGAAGACCGGATGCACTGCTGCTAATTATGCTAGCAAATCTAACTCATATACCACCTTGCCAACCCTTTTCAAGATCTTGTAAGGGCCTACATATCTAGGACTGATCTTTCCTTTCTTTCCCAATGGCAAAGTCTGAGGCATCCATATGTACTTCAAAGGTCTTTGAGAATTCAGGCAGCATGAAGACCGGTTCTTCTGTTACTCCGTCCTTGAGACCTTCGAACGCTCTTTGGCACTCCTCGCTCCAAGCCCATGACTTATTCTTATTTAAAAACTTGGTCATTGAAGAGGCTTTAGCGGAGTAACTACTGATGAACCTGCGATAGTAGTTCACAAGCCCAAGGAATGATCGCAGATCGGTCACCTTTATGGGCGCCTCCCACTCTTCGATTGCCGTAATATTTGCCTCATCCATACGGAGTTCGCCATGGCTATTAACATGTCCTAAGAAGTGCACCTCGGGCTGGTCGAAATCGCACTTCTCCTGCTTGACGTAGAGCTGGTTCTCTTGTAAGACTTGGAAGGCTTTCCGATGGTGCTCCACATGTTCCTCAAAGGTGTTGCTATAGATGACCATGTCATCCAAGTACACCACCACGAACTGTTCCAAGTAAGGAATAAGAATCACGTTCATCAGCGTGCAAAAAGGTGGCGGACGCGTTTGTTAATCCAAAATGCATCACCAACAACTCGTATGCTCCGTATCTAGTCATGCACGCTGTCTTTGGCCCATCCCCCTCTGCGATGTGCACTTGGTAGTAGCCTTTCTAGAGACCCATCTTGGTGAAGTACTTGGCCTTCCTAATAGTCGATGCATAAGCGCAACGACCCCTCTTTTTTCTTCTAGAACAACACTGACGCGCCATAGGTTCCTTGGATGGATGGATGTGACCGGCCTCGAGAA